TTATTTTATTTTATTTTATTTTATTTCCAGATAAGCTCGTTTTTAGTGGATTTTGAATCACGGTACTGAAATAAAGAAAAATTTTGTGACAGCAGTTGTCTGCTAGAAACAAATACTGTAATGATGTTCATATACTCTTAAAGGACAACAGGTGGATGCCATCAGAGGTGCTGTTAATTAGCTTTATGCAGAAGTGCACAGAAGAAAAGAGCGATACTGAGGGGTTTTTAATTACAGGTACAGAAATTAGTTTTTGCAGTCATATGTAATACTATGCCTGCCTTTTTTTTTTAGTCTGCATTCCTAGTAATGGTGACTGTTACTACATAGCAAATCAGAAAATGGATTGCAAATCAAAAAGCAGGTCATCTGCTCAATGGACATGCCAAATCTATCAGCTTAAAATAGTAGTAGTTCTACAAAGGCAATAAAACTCACTCACTGAATTAAAGCTTTCTACAGTCCAGTGCTGCTATGAGAATTACATTCCTCAAGTACTTTGATGTTTTCTAACCTGTGAAAAGAAACTGTGAATATCTCATCTCAGCTGTTTTATAAGATGTGAGGCAAGATGTGAGCTTAAAGAGGGTAGAGTTAATGAAAGGAAAATCTCAGGGCGTTTTGATCACTTTGTCCCTCAGCAGTAGATTGGGTGGAGACACAGGAACAGCTGGACTTGTTTGCCACTCATCTGAAGGAGAAGGTATTTGTCCATGGCCGCAGATTTGGCCTGGAGCGTGACTGGACCGGTGGCTGTTGATGGATGGCAATTCCAGTTGGTGTTGATTAGCACCCCTTTGATGAGGGGTACTCGAGTATTGTGAGTGCTGTTGCCACAGGGCTAGCTCTGAGCGTTTCTTTGAGTCATCGGGACCATCCCCAATAAAAACAGCCTGACTTCTGGCAGATAGGTCACCCAAAACTAAGCAGCAATGACGAGACCTCGCCAGCCTGGGTGCCAGCTCGCCTTGGAGCCATAGGAACCTGACCACGGTGTGCTTCAGAGGCAGATTCAGCAAATCTGAAGGTTTCACACATGCTCTCTTTTGATTCCCTTTCATAATTTATCAGGTTTTGTGGTTGAGGATGTTTGTGTCTCCACTTCAGTAGCTGCTTTTCATCTCTCAACCCTGAGGTGCCTTTCAGTGTCTCCTTCTGTCTGTCATAAGCAATCTCAGTTGCACGGTAGTAGTTGCTCTTCTTGCCTGTTTTGGGTTCAGCCATAGGTTACTGAAATCAAATACTCCTCCTGTCAACTTCGTGCTGCTGGGCCTACAGTGCTTTTCAACCTGCAGGAGATACCCAAGGTTGGAAGAGGGAGCGGTGTGATTGTTATTAATTCTATGGTTCTATGCAGTTTTGCTCCTTGCTCTCTTTGTTGGCTGATGGGTGCTGACAAGATACCTCATTGCGGTACATTTGAGATGACGAGGAGTTCGTATTCAAGCAACTGGACACGTCAGTCAGCATCGTGATGAAGCAGGATGATGACTTGCATCATCAGGACAAGTCTTGTAGGAGACTGCAGTAGTCTCAGGAGAATATACCCCTCAGCCTCTTTTGGCTGAGTTGTTGCATTTTAAATTGCAAGAAATGGTTCTTCGTGGTTGTACTGACAAGAGGATGGGAACCTTTCACAATCCAGGCAGCTCCAGCCCACCTGCCTAGTAGAGATTTGATGTTTACTTGGTGGCAAAATAACTGAATGCAAACCCAAACTTCTGCCAGCCTTGGCTTAGGGACTGGATCCACTGAGGATGAGGGTTGCATCTTCCTCTCTTCCTTCACCGTGGGAGCTGTTTTAAGGAGTGACATAAAAACTGATCTCGGCTGTCTGTATGTTGAAGAGGCAGGGCCTCCAAACAGCTTGAGAACACCCCGCCGGCGGTGAGCGGCGCTGGGTGGGTCTGGGTGGCAGTACTGCATGGAGCTGGCAGGAACAGCCATTCTTCTGCAGCTGAGATTGCCAGGCATCTTTCTGGCTTCTTGCGTCAAACTTACCTACGTGCTCCCCTGCTTTTCAAATAGAAACAGAGCTCCTTTTGTTCTAATTTAAGGTTTTCGGTCTCTGACATTTATTTGCTTTACTTGTTTGCTGAACACAAGCACACTTTGTCAGTACAGCAGATAAAATATTTACCGTGTGCTTAGGAATGTAGTCTTAGATGTCCCTTGGTCATGTTTCTGCTGTGCTAGGTGTGGTAAATTCACTCATGAAGGTGGCAAATGGGTTTTTAAGGGTCCATGGCTGTTTACAGCAGCCCTAGATAGAATAAATGTGCCTTGCAGGGGTGAGACTGCTCGTGCCAAACAACTGTAGCTCAGAAGTTGGGTGTGAGGTTGCAGGTGGAACAGATAGAAACAGAAAACTTGAAACTGATGCAACATGGGTTTAGTAGCAAGAATTTCCTTCTATTACTGTGTCTCTCCAGGCCTGAAGCTTCAGCACCCTCTCTTTGTTGCGGTTGTAGGACAATTTCACTCTAGTTATGGAACAGTGCTGTTGTAAATGAGTTTGTTTCTTGAGGTGTTGGAAATGCTCTGCTGGTGTTGGGGCAGAGAGGCGCTCTGAAAGGGTAGGTGTTGTCATTGGCACATGATACAGGTCAGGGAGCAGGAGGCCTGGGGGCAGGGTGTTGTGTGGAAAACGGATGTGTGGGTTTGTTACCTGCAGCTGATGAGTATAAAGGTCTCAATATTAATCATATGGTAGAGGAAGAATATAGTCTTGGAAGCTCTGTGCGTGTTGGGACTTAGCGTGAGCTGTCAGAGGAGCAGTGAACATCAGCTCCTTATGGTCAGTGGTAAAAGACAAAACAGCAGTGTTGATAAAATGGAGAGAGTTAGGTGGGGATTGGCTCCATGTTACATCCAGGTTTAAAAAAAGCCCAACCAAACAACCAAATAAAAAAATCCTGAGAAGGAAAGATGCAAGACTGGGTCGAGAAGCACGTGGATGGATTAAGTGCGAGAGGATTTGTGGTTATCTTCAGATGGAAGTGCAGAATTCTTACCACTTGGTAGTTGCTGGACATAGCTGAGGGTTTGAGTTGGAGCAAGCGATGGCCATAGCGTTCCATAGTACCTTGTCAAGATGTAAAGCACAATATTGATGGCTGTCCTCAAACTTCTCTTCCTTGAAAATTTAAAGCTTATGTAGTTTTTTGAAGCACTGAGGCACCCTTAATGTCATATATCGCCTATTCCCATGCCATTGCGGCTTTGGCCATAAAATGCTAGTTAATTTTGATTTTTCTCAAAAAAAGGCCTGAAGAGAGTGCCTCACATGAAGCTGTCACTGCCCCTAGAAATGTTTTCAAATTTGGGAGAAAAAAAGAGAGAGAGATGGGATATCTTACTCAATTAAAAATAGCTTTTGTTACTCAACAGTATTTTTCTTCCTTTTTTTAATAGATCCTAATTATCTGATGGCTAATGAACGCATGAACCTGATGAACATGGCAAAACTGAGTATCAAGGGATTGATTGAATCGGCGCTTAATCTGGGCAGGACGCTGGACTCCGACTATGCACCTCTTCAGCAGTTCTTCGTTGTGATGGAACACTGCCTCAAACATGGCTTGAAAGGTAACCTTGCTTGAGAGGAGTCCTCCTGGGCTGTTTGTCATAGCCTAGGAGCGAGAAGGAATGGTCTTGTTTTGAAAAATCTAGTTTTTTAATCCACAGTAAACTAAAGAGAGGCTGGGCAGGGAGACTGCTGAGACCACAGTTGACCTGACAGGCCAGAGGAAGGGAAATAAAATGTGCTGAAGGTATAACTGCAGGTGAAAAGTTCACAGCTGGTGCAGGTGCTTGCTGTTTTTAAAACAGCTTTTCAGAGGGCTTCAATATAACTAAGTGATCAGTGATAAAATTAGCTCCTCAGCAAAGTCATGACTCCCTTTTTTTCTGCACTTCCTCCTGCTTTAGGGACACAAGGGTCCTCTTGCTGGAAGAGGAACTGCAACACAGAGGTCCTTTCTCAATAGTTCTGTCAAAACTGGCGATTTTAGCTTTGTGCAGCTTATGTCTTGTAAGCTGCTGTCTAAAATCATAGAATCATAGAATGGTTTGGATTGGAAGGGACCTTGAAGATCATCTAGTTCCAACCCCCCTGCCATCAGCAGGGACACCTTCCACTAGATCAGGTTGCTCAAAGCCTCATCCAGCCTGGTCTTAAACACTTCCAGGGAGGGGGCATCTACAACTTCCTTGGGCAACCTGTTCCAGTGTCTGACCACCCTCACAGTGAAGAACTTTTTCCTAATATCTAATCTAAACCTCCCCTCTTTCAGTTTAAACCCATTTCCCCTTGTCTTGTCGTTAGTTGCCCTTATGAAAAGTCCTTCCCCAGCTTTCTTGTAGCCCCTTCAGGTACTGGGAGGCTGCTATAAGATCTTCCCGGAGCCTTCTCTTTTTCAGGCTGAACAGCCCCAACTCTTTCAGCCTGTCTTCATAGGAGAGGTGCTCCAGCCCTCGGATCATCCTGGTGGCCTCCTCTGGACTTGTTCTAACTGGTCCATGTAAAATAGCCAGCAGAGCATATATTTGTCTCTATAATACAGAGTCACAACTAAAATTGCCAGCTAGCAGACTACTTCTCTTGATGTGCTGCCCTTGTGTGGTAGTAGCGTGGGATGAGAAGCAGAGGGTGTTAAATGCCCTCTCAGCCCCCATACGTGCATCCTGCAATGCTGTGTTGGCAGTTGTGCTCAGCACGATGCACAGAAGTGATTCCTGTGCTGCTTAAGGCAGCGCTGTGCAAGGGAGAAGTGTTCATGTTCTTCAGCTTCCTTGTTGATCCGTTTGCCAGTGTCCCTACTGCTGGTCATAAGTCTGAAGTTAATGGAATTCTCAGTCTTCTCACTGTTGCTGGGAGTAACTATGTAAGAAGAAAATGAATTTCCAGCTTTAGTACGTAGGGGTCACTGGAAAGCTTTTGTGAAGGAGGAAAGGATGCACAGAGAAGCCTCTGGCAGGAATGGAGAAGGAGTGGATTCCAAGTGATGTGGTCCTTTTCCTTGTAATTCCAGTGAGAGAGAAGTACTGTGCACCCGCAGAGCGTAACTTAGGGACAGTGAGAGCAGCCTAGTAGAAATTTTAACCTCTAGCAGTGAATATGAGTTGCTGGTTAGCAGATGTTGTTGTTTTGCTGTATTGGGATGTATGGAATATTTTCTGGCATCTCTTTCAAGCTCCTGTTGCCTTACTTGAAGGATACCAATAACTGCCACTACACTTGGGCATAAAAAGGCATGTTTTGTACTTGCCCAGCAGCAGTCCCAGAAGAATATTTCTGGCAGTTTTTGTCTACTGTTAATTTGCTTCTGACCATGTTTGACAATGTATTTAGTTAGTAAAGGCCTAACAGGTTCATTTTCTATCTCTTCTAGCCAAAAAGACTTTTCTTGGGCAAAACAAATCATTTTGGGGACCTCTGGAACTAGTAGAAAAACTTGTTCCCGAAGCTGCAGAAATTACAGCAAGTGTTAAGGATCTCCCAGGGCTGAAGTAAGTACAGTCTTTTACTACACAAATACAAAATATGTTGGGGTCTTCTTTTAATTGTCAGAAGGATCCTGAGGAAGAGAAGGAAGGGCAACATAACCTTCAGGAATACATCTGCCACCTTCTGCTGGTAGAAGTGGATCATTACTTTCTTTAATTCTTAATCAAGGAGCTGCAGAAGGAGAGGATGGGCTGTGTTCTTTCCGTGTTCAGCCCGTGGGGCGTTACAGACAACAGTGCATTTATTGCTGGCCCTAAATGAGTGACCACGTGTCTCAGGAGCGGGAGCAGCCTTTACTGACTCCCTCTGAAGTCAGACTGAAGAGGAAGGGAATTGGAAGGAAGGTGACAACAGGTTAAATAGTTTTGAGGCTGCTGGAGGTAATTTTTCTTTTAAATAAATTCAGATAAACTTGTGAGGTTTGTGTAAAAGGGAGGCTCAGTCACGAAGTTGGAGAAGATAGCGTGTGTTAAAGAGGAGAGGGGAAAAAAACCACTTTAAGCAGATAATGCTTTTAAAAATTTCATAGTCATTTCAGACATCACATTCAGGTTTGCTTATTCTGTGCTAAAAAGAAACTGCAAGAGGCTTTTTCAGCCTGGGGAATAGGAAAAAAGGTATAAGGAAGCTTTTGTATGAGTCGCGGGACTAAGGATTAAATCTCCTTTGCTAAAGGAAGAGGTGAATAGATTCAGTAACGGTTTATTTCAGGTTAGTATTTAGTGATGTACATATGGACAAGTGCTTTTACTGGAAATGTGTGCAGGACTCTTCCTGGAACAGCTTACAGGACCAGCGTAGAGTGCCAACAGTGTTGTGCCAGAGCTCCTCTTACCTTTTCCTGTTGTGCAAGAATATTGAAACATGAAAAAAATTGAAGTAAAGAACAGTTTTAGATTAAGTCTCTAAATCTCAGCCTTGGTTTCCAACTAACCCTTGGGAAATGTCATGTCATGTGTTAGTGAGGTCAAGAATGGGGAGTAATGAAGATGACTTTCATGGTCAGTTGTTGCTTGTACTAGTTAAGGTCAGAGAAAATAAAGTGCCCCACGTGCTGACTGCTGGAGAGGGAAAAGAAAAGGTCAGAGAAAATAAAGTGCCCCACGTGCTGTTTGGTGTAAGACAGCTGACTGCTGGAGAGGGAAAAGAAGTCTCCTTCTAATCAGAATAGTGCTCGACACAGGGGATTTACACCTTCCTTTGGAGCATCTGGTCCTGGCTCCTGGCCAGCGTGCCAGGGTAGATGAGCCAGCACTGTGATGCAGCATCTCAGTTAGCTTATTTTTCAAGCTGCACGCTTCAGATTGCCAGGAGAAACAGAGGGGGAAGGACTGTGACCATAACCCATTGCATCCTGTGAGCGTGTTCATGAGCAAAATAGTTGAAGAGAACAGTGCTGAATTTGTGTTTTCAGCTGTCTCTGTGGATTCTCACCCAAGTTCACCGCTCCTTCAGATGGTAGGTGTTCTCCTGCGTCTGTGCTGGAGTAGTATACACATTTTTCTGACTTGCCTTATGCAAAACTGATTTTAAATTAGAAGGTGATGTGTTGAAGCAGCTGATCTCTATATAGTAGCATCCAGCAGGGGTAAAGTCAGGGAAATATATTTAGTGTAACAACAAATACAGAATTAGTTATGAGAGAAGCAGCAATTGCTGACATACATTTGTCTGTAACTATTTGCACGTGAATACCTTGTGTTTCCCTGTTTTCATCAGTGCCAGCTCTATCTTTGAGATGCAGAAACTTGAGATAGAATGGGATTAATAAAACTGTTTGTGAATGTACACTGCAGTGTGTCTGTGACTGTTTTGTTTCTGGCCTTTGTAGGACACCTGTGGGTAGAGGAAGAGCTTGGCTTCGCCTGGCTCTAATGCAGAAGAAACTCTCAGAATACATGAAAGCCTTGATTAACAGAAAAGATCTTCTCAGGTGAGTGCTGAGCTCGGTCTTGACTTAGGTGACGTTCACTTCTGCCCTTTTTAAAGATGTTTATGATTTTTTACACCCAAATGGTAAAGTGTGCGTGTACTTTTTTTGAGAAGTGGTAATATTTGTGAAATGCAGACCTTCCTTTGAGGGATTAAAAATGCTCAGTATTCTTTCTTAATTCAGAAGCTGATATTTCTGCACTTTGTGACAACTATCAATTAGAATAAACGCAAATTTTGCTTACAAAGAGATGATTTGGATGAAATATTTGCCCAGAGGAGGTAGAGCATTCTCTGTCTGCACAGTCTTGGCCCTAGATTGATTTTTGACCTTGTCACTTCATTACCATGTGACTTGGAACAAGTCATTTCAATTTTCTTTATCTCTACTTCCCACTCATAAAGCAACAATAATTTTGTAGTTTAATTGCAAGCCCATGGATTTGAACTACTACATTTGTGTAAAGCAGTAGGATTTAATAAGTATGTTGGTGTTTCTTTACTCATACAAGTAGGTTTTTGTTGGCTGTCCTTGTAAATCCATAGCTGAGTTGGGGTTAGAAAGGAGAACGTGGCGTTGTCCAGTGGAAAATACAGCAGTGGCTTGTGTTAATAATAGTATGAAATAGCATAGTTAAAGTATGCTACTTAAAAAAAAAAATAAAATAATAATAATAAACCTTAGCCTGAAATCTTCCATGTGCTGTACCATGACTCACAATTGTGCTTACTTTCCATCACCTTTCAACAGCTGAGGGACCAGGTCTCCTACTTGTTGGGTCTTTGCCTTGACATTGCGTAGGAATATATGTCTGTGTGGACTGTGTGCCGCTGCCTGGGTTTTGCTTAAGGCTGAGGGTGCATTATATTGTCATCTGAAATAGCACAGATCCCATGCTAGTTGACAGCACTTGAGTTGGCTTTTAAAGATGTAACAGTTGTTTTCTCTTGCCATGCATCCTGCAGTGAATTTTATGAACCTAATGCACTGATGATGGAAGAAGAAGGTGCGATCATTGCTGGCCTCCTAGTAGGTCTGAATGTCATCGATGCAAACTTCTGCATGAAGGGAGAAGACCTGGACTCTCAGGTACTGGGTATTCAGTTAATGGGGTTTTTCTGTTCATTTAAACAGGAAGAATTTTCTGTTTTGGAGGACTTGAATCAACTGAGATACCAGTTTGTTACTATACGTAATAGAAGCTTGTTACCATGATTGTGGTCTTTGATTAGCTGACAGCACTGAGATCAGAGACTCAGGGTTTTGGTTTTCTCTGTGCTGTTACCTGTGTGCAGACCATAGCAAAGCGTCACTGTGGAGTCAAATGTAGTAAATGAACAAGGCAGCAAAACCAGGGAAGGACTAAGCCAAAATGAGGGGAGAAATGGCCAGAACTGTTAATTGGCTCACGCTGTGTGATGAGATCATTGTAGCTGTTACACAAAAGAAAATGAGCCTGTATGCACTTATGTTCCAGTTTGTATATACAGATATGGTGATGCTCATGTTTTGTCCTTATGTCCTAAGGCTTCCTTGACAACTTGCTGCTTAATCTAGTATATTTTTGCTTGAAATACACTATTTTTGATAGTTCACTGGCATAATGAATCCTTGCTATAATACAACTGTTGTGTTAAAGGGCAGAGAGATTTTGGCAGAAAATAAACCCCTTGTGTTCCAGCTTGTCCTCAGATACCAGAGGAGCTGGGGGTGGCTGGGCTGAGATTCTGAGTGATGCCCAGTTTGGCACTGTCAGTCTGGTCCTGTTTAATATATAGAACTCCCATAGCTGTGGATGGACTAACAGTGCAGGACAACAGTCCAGTTGCGTTGGAATGAACTCACAGGGCTGCTTGGTTGCGTTCAGTGAGGACTTTCATGGCTGGATTCACTAGCAGAGCAGTGCACCTCCAGTCTAGTCACCTTTAAATGAACTTACATGGTTATACTTGGTCACATTCAATGAGGACTGTCACAACTGGATTAATGAACGGGGCAGTTCATTGAAGCAACAGAGTACAGGTGCTTTTTGAATTGTTGTTGATAAGTATACTGTCTGCAAACATGAGCGTAGGTATCTAAGAACGTGAATCTACAAACGTCTTAAGGAAAAATAACTCTAGAGATCTTCTGAGTTTCTTGGGGAAGGTTCTAATCTCACCCAATAGGTGAGATTGTCTATGGGGGAGAGAGGCTCAGCCCATCGACTGGTCCCACAAGTTGGTGATGGTTTGTGAGTGTCTCCCCGACTTGTCTGCAATGGTATCTTCCTTCACATTCCCCCTCTCTTAGGCCATTTCTATACTATTTTCTTACTTTTGGGGGGAGCTTGAGTGACTCTAGTCATACATACTTTTATTATAATATTGGTGTAAAATTTCCTCGCTTTGCTTTTAAAGGTCTAGACCAGAGGGAATTCAGAGTGCACACTCAGTGAGGGGTGGTTGCACCTAGGAGGCAGGTGGCTTTTGGGATAGAGGTGTTGTTTAACATTTTAATGATAGTGTAATGAGCAAAATTCCACCCAGGACGACACAGTTTTGGCAAAATGATGAGAAAATGCTGGCTCAGGGTAGCAACCATCCAGCTTATCAGTTCCCCAGCACCATCAAGTTCCCCTCTGCTCTGCACCGAGCCTGGCCATGGTGTCTCCACTCCACCCTCGTGCTATTTCTCTTACAGTCAGTGACTCTAAGGTTGCAGGCTGTACCTAGGGATCCACCATGGAATAGATTTCTCACATACCAACCACACTCCATCCTGAAAGTTTCCTTCATGCTGTACCTTCTCTTAAGATGTAGGTATACAGCCATTTCTAAGTCACTTCCAGTTATAATTCCACAACAACATGTACTGATGTTCTAACTGACTGACTCTAAACTCTCACAGCTACGGACACTGTTTAGTCTTAGAAAAAGTTTTTAACATAAAATGCAAATTTTTTTTTCTAGGTTGGAGTTATTGATTTCTCAATGTATTTGAAAGATGGTAACAGCACGAAAGGCAGTGAAGGGTAAGTATAAGCAGTTGTTCTGCTTCTTATCTCTTGATAACTTGTGTTCAGGGATACCCTGCGAGCTTTTATGTTTTTAATTAAAAAGCTACTTAGACTGAATGGCTCTTCTATGATAAACCATAATATATGGAAGTACCGGGAGGGGGCAGTGGAAAAGGAAAGTCTCCCAGAAATTCTGTGTTCTTCATTGAGTGGCAATTGAAGATAAAAATATTTTACAAGTGACCCTCTGCTGAGTTAGGTCTGCCATTCTTTAAAGGCTTTTTGGTGAGCAGCTTAGTGGCCTCCACCAGTTGTATGGCTAGCAGGAGAGCACTTCATTTTTGGCAACTTAATATCCTTACGGAAAAAAATCCTCTATTTGGAAAAGCCCATAACTGTAATAATGAGTGGTGCCAGCATCCACAAAGGGAGCTGTGCAGTGTTCAGAGCTAGAGGCTGAAGACTCCACTGTGGGCACACTGACCTGTGGATCAGGTGGTGTGGTTTGCTGAGCTTCCTCTGGAGTATTACTTCCTTCTAAGGAAGTCCTGCTAGTTTGAATTCATGTGTATCTTTAATCATTATGCCTCAGGATCAGGTGTTTTAATTGCACTTATTTTATCTCTATTTTGTTTTTAGAACATTCTTTAGTTCAGATTTCCTGCTGGCAGTGCATGCAAAACATGCATTTGTTAAGAGTCAGAGTGGATTTTGGTGAGATGACTCTTGTCCAATACAAATGTAGTGCAAAACTGGGGTTTTTTTCTTTGCAAAAAACTGTACTCTTGGACATGTTGTCTGCCTTCATCATTCTGGTTTGTGTGTCACTAAACATCTGAGTGTCATCCAGGTGAATGAAGCAGTTACAGCTTCTGAGAAGTCAGTAACTGATGATAAAGGCGCAGACTTTGCTGTTTCCTATACATCCCATAGACTCGTGGAGACCTCGGGTGTTAGTGCTACGCTGGCCACGTGTGCTCTATCACCACATTTCCTCTTAGACCTTTAATAGTGGCTATTAGTTCTTTGAATCCAAATGGCTGAGCTGAATGATACTTCTTTTTGCCAGAGATGGTCAGATAACTGCTATTCTGGACCAGAAGAACTATGTAGAAGAACTTAACAGACATTTAAGGTAAGGCCTGGTTTATTTATTCTATATTATGTAGTATAGCAAAAGAGAAAACTGGCTTCTAAAAAAGAAGGAATTACTGTAGAGGGTTTTTTTTCTCTTCAACAGTGCTACAGTAAACAATCTACAGGCCAAGGTGGATGCCTTAGAAAAATCCAACACTAAACTGACCGAGGAGGTAAGTGTAATAGAAAATCATCTGATGTTTTTGGCCTATTGGAATCAGGGATTAAAAAGTAAGGGAGGAGTTCTTTTCCGATTTCTGGTGCGAGTATTTAATGATGGAACTGGAATAACTGACCTGAGAAGGAATTACACTGGCTGTTGCTACTGACTAAGCATGAAGTGGCAAAACAACCAAATGTATGAATTGAAAACCAAAAGCTGTTGTATATGCTTTATCCATCCAAAGTCTTCAAGTGCTTTCTGATTTTTGGAAAATACCTTAGAATAAATTGCATGGTGGATATGGCTTCAAATGCTGTACAGCTCATGTAGGTTATGAGGTGTCCAGACATGACAAATTTTTAAATGTCCTGTTTATTTTGACAGGTGCACAAGTTTACTACAGGGTAAAAATAGTAATTGAAATGTTTTAACAACTTTTTCTCTAGCCTGTCACAATTTGCAAGAAATAAAGTAAAAATTACCATTATAGATAAAACATTGTTCAGTCTGAGCATGAAAAATGGTTGTTATGTGCCTCACAGGTGTAACCTGTTGTAAAATTGGTCTTGCAGTTCATTAGTAATGGTATCAATGTAATCAAATCTTTTGGGGTCAGTTCCCTGACAAATGGGTGCTGGTAGGTCTCATCCTCACAGCTCTGCAGTTATCTCTGTCCATGTGTCGCTGAGCTGAGCAGAATGATTTTGATTGGGATGTCTCAGTGCTCTTGCAGTACAAATATGAAATAGAAATTATTCTTTGCTTGTTTCACCCTCATTAAAGTAGGTCTGCGTGTCTGGTTATTGAACATTTACTCTCATGGATGTATTCCAAATGATGAGAAGCTTTAGCGATAGAAATTAGTTTATCCAGCCTTACAGTTAAGGAGTAAGAAATTTTTTTTTTTTTCAATTAAAATATATTTTTAATTTTAAAAAGATGATCTGCAGTAGTGGCCCCCTTTCTAAATGCTACTGTGATAAGTGGCTTTTGATTTATTACCCGAGACCAAGTGCTGTGCCCATTAGGCATGGTTCCCTTGAGATTAATTGCAATGCTGACTGAAGTTATTTCTTTATTTTTAATCTTTTACTTGTGTGTGTCTTGGTGAAGTCTGCATGCAGGTTCAGAGTAAGAATTTAAGAGACACTGGCACACGCTGTGCCAACCAGGGCTATTTTCAGGGTGTGGTTAATGAACTGCCTCATGTCACATCAATTTGTGTATTTGGCTTGACCTGCATCAAAGACCCACACATTTATTAGGGCAATTTCTACTTGGGATTGTTACTTAATAACGTTGCTCATCTCTTGGAATGTCACTGAGCTTTTTTTGTGTGCGAGGCTTACCTAAGTTAGGATTTACCAGACCAGGAGGAGTTTTCTGGCTGTTTTGACCTTTGACTGCACACTCCAAGTAATCTGTTCAGCTGCAAAGCTGTCTTCAGTGGGAATTTCTCTGAGGGAGATGGCCTGTCTTGTAAGGCTGGTGTGTGCTACTGATCCTCCGTTTCTAGCCAAATCTTCCTCCTCTGATGGGGTTCTCATCACGCTTCTCCTACCCAAACCCTTGAGCATTTTACATCTCAGATGCTCTACCAAGGAGTGTGTCCAAACTACTGAAGCTTTCGCAAACCCATGTAAGTATTTCTGCTCCGCTAATAAATTTCAGTTGCAAGAAGTCAACAAAACTTAGCTGCCCTATGCTCTCATTTTTACTTTTTGTTATCTTGGGCAAAGGAAGGGGGATGGAGTGAGGATTTCTCTTGAGTTGCACTAAGGAAGTCAATAACTTGAATGAAAGACAGGAACAGAAATAGGTTAAGAAGTCTCTGTTTTAGTTGATAGTGGAAATCCATCACCCTGGCACCAACTGATGCTTTTTCAAGTAGTCTGTGGTAGAGGCCGAGTTGTTTTCTGCCTCTCCAAATATTTTTTTTCTTCTTATTGTAAAAAAAATGAGTACAGAAAATGCATCTAGAGAGGAAAAAAAAATGGTCAAGTATGTTTTTGATATGTTACTGTTCTGTTTTGTTCACAGCTTGCGGTTGCAAACAACAGGATTATTACACTGCAAGAAGAGATGGAACGGGTTAAAGAAGAAAGTTCTTACATCTTAGAGTCCAATCGCAAGGTAGGTGTGTGTGAACAATTACTGAACCTCTTGGGCAGTCCCAACCCAAATGCAGCTGAGAAGTAGGTGTTTGGAAGAGACTTAATTTCCTTACATATCTTGTGTAAAAACTGCGATAGAGAGGAGTGACTCCAGGTGAGTCCTCTGCAGAGGGCAACAGATGGACCCTGGCCACAGTACATCCTGCCTGGCTGTAGCTGATTAAACTGTGAGTGCACGGAGCTGAGAGCTCACGCAGCGTGTTCCTGGCTTGCTGGGCGGAGGTGTCAGAAGGGACAGGAGGAAGGATGATTTACTGAGGGGGTGGCAGAAAAATGTGGATGTAGGAGCTCTGCTGTTTTCACCCGAAAGGCTGTCATTTCCAGAAATGAAGGGACAGGGTCTATTTTTTTTGTTGTTGTTGATTTATTGGAAGTGCTAGTAACTATGTCAATCTCTTTTTAGTTTTAAAACCCATAAGATCTTTTTCTGAGGTTTTGTAACCATACTTAGTATATTGTCTAAGTTCTGAAAACTGTGTATTTAGTTCATACCCATCGACGTGCACTGAGGTAGATTCATTTCACGTGGAAGCTGCCTGCTGCATTAACTGAATGGAGCTCTGAGTTTCAATAGTTGGAGAATTTTTTTGAGTGCTGTGAAAAGGAAATAATCAGCAAATGTGAGAGTTGTTAGTATCTAATGACAAGCTAATTGGGTGTCTTCATTACCTTAGGTCACTAAAGACAGAACTGCTGATGGTCAGGCACTGACTGAAGCACGGAAACAGTTAAAGGAGGAGACTCAGCTGCGGCTGGTAAGGACTGTGTGAGCTTGGAGCTCACTGCAAATGGCTTTTTCATATAATTCCTTGTCAGACAATCCCTTTTCAAAATATTTAGCCAGGGGATTTTTTTTCATTCCTACCTACCTGCTTCAGCCTGATGCGAGACAGTCTTGTCAGAAGCAATGTTAATTTTGTGGCTCTATTGAAGAGTTTGAGGTTTGTTTCTCAAAACATACAGTGCTGTTGCATTTTTAGGTCTAACATATCCCTTATCTGAACTGTTACTCAATATGTGTTCAACTGGTGGGGAGAAAAATGCCTGAGCAGAATGTTTTTAGGAAATATGAAGTCTCCCAGCTTTTCAGTCAATCCCCTTCATCAGAAAGATGGGCTGATAGAGTACTTACTGACCCTTTGCTAGTAATGCTGTTTGCATTGCTTAAATACTGGACTGAAAATGTGGATTTGTTGTCCTTAATTGTCTTTGATGGGTCGGTCAGATCTGTAGCTGTGACACTCCTCACAGATGGTGAGGATAGCTGGCTGGTAATGCTGACTGCTCCATGTGTTCCAGGATGTGGAGAAAGAGCTGGAGGTGCAGATCGGGATGCGACAGGAGATGGAACTTGCCATGAAGATGCTGGAGAAAGATGTTTGTGAGAAGCAAGATGCGCTGGTGGCACTCAGACAGCAACTGGATGATCTCAGGGCCCTAAAGCATGAACTGTCTTTCAAGCTGCAGGTAGGGAAATAATTAAATCAAATGCAGTGAATTCCAGATAAAAGTGGTAGCTCTTGTTCTTTATTTCCATGCAATTTTGGGCACCACAGGATAAAAAGGATCTAAAGCTACTAGAGACAGTCCAGAAGAGGCCAGAAAACTGCTGAAGGGTTTAGAGGGGAAGGGTATGAGGAGAGGCTGAAGTCACCTGGTTTGTTCAGCCTGAAGAGGAGACTGAGAGGAGATCTCCTGGGGGTCTAGAACTTCCTCCCAAGGGGCAGAGGAGGGGCAGGCGCTGATCTCTTCTCTCTGGCCACCAACGAATGCCAGGAGCAGAGGGAATGGCAGGAAGATGTGGCAGGGGAGGGTGAGGTTGACCATGAGGAAAAGGTTCTTGAGGCAGAGGGTGGTGGAGCACTGGAACAGGCTCCCCAGGGAGGTGCTCATGGCACCAAGCCTGACAAGTTTCCAGAAGCATTTGGCCAAGACCCTCAGGGACTTGGTGTGAATCTTGGGATTTTCCTATGCTAGGGTAAAAGTTGAACTCGGTGAGGGTTGTTGGTCCCTTCTAACTCACAACATTCTATGATTCTATTTAAAAGGTGCAGGTGTGGAAGGGTTAAGAGGCTGTGTAGCATTCTTTTGTCTTGCTGTGAGAAAGCTGTAGCGCGTGAACAATTGAACGTGTTTGGGGTTAAAGGAAAATATAGTTTCTTCTGAAAAAAAATCAGGATGATCTGGAAATGTGTGTGCTTGACCGGGGAAAGCATCTTCTGTGTTTTTGTGCTATAAAAACTGAGCCATAGTAGCTTCTGTTCCAGTACAGTCTAGTATTTGAAGGTGTATGGTGTCATTACGTACGTTACTGCATGGTGACAAAGAGCAACACAGAATGCTGAGAAAGAAATCCTAAAATAAACTTCAGAACAGGAAAGAGTTGCTTCTGCTCTCCTTGAGCCAATCACTCTGCAGAGCAGTTGAATGGCACCGACAGGTACTGCATTAATATGTATTATAGGGGAAGCTTCATTGATCACGGTGTTGCCCTTTTGTGGGGTCCAGATGTAGGCTGCACTTGTATGACAAGATGTTTGTCCTTGCAATGTGGACCTGACATTTGCTTTGTGAGCACCTTCTCCTGCCCTTTTTGGCTTCTGCCCCTTTTGTGTCATGTGCCACATGATTGACCATGGTTTATTTTGGTTTTACTGCTACTTAAAGAAAAAAAACCCACAATGCTGTTTTTTCCAGAGTTCAGACATGGGAGTGAAACAGAAGAGTGAATTAAACAGCCGTTTGGAAGAGAAAACAAATCAGATGGCTGCCACCATCAAACAGCTTGAACAAAGGTAAGAAATGAAACTTTTACAATTATAAAATCACGTGTGTATTCTAGTGGTGGTGTCACACTGACCCTGGATGGACCAGGTGAGAGTTCGAGTGCTCTGCTTAGCCACTGCTAAACAGAGCTGCATGAGAAGAGCTATAAATCTGTGAGATGCTGTTAGGAGAAGTGTTTTGCATGCTCAGCAGGGCTTCCACTGGAAAATATTATACTATAATACCAGTAATTAACATAGCAGCTTTGTTATCTATGTCAGCTACACTTTTATGTGTTGTACAGTCATTAGAAGTCAGTCACTGTCTCTGACAGCGCTGATAAAAAAGTAGAAATACACACTGAGAGAAGTGCTGGACTGTTAATGCCAGTGTTACAGGGGGAGCAGGAAGGAGAAGCGTGCAGCAGAGGCCAGGCTCAGAGGTGCTTGGTTCTGCCACATCTCTCTGGTACTGGACTGAAAATAATGCCCCCAGTTGAACCGTTCTCTTATGAACAGCCTGGTCCTTTGGGAGGGCAGTGAGCTTGGAAAAAATCCTCCCATGAAAGTAAAGGGAGGAAGATGAGAGGGCAGCCTGGCTGTCGCTGAAGTGGACAAAGATAGCCCGTAGGTATAATACCATTTGGACTGGGCCAAGTTCCATCCTAATAACCGTGCTGCTCTCATGTTACTAAGCCTCATGAAATTAGGAGGGCCTCAGCACTGAAGTCAGGTGGATTGGAGAAGGATCGGTGCTCCTCTTCCCCTTTTGTCTCCTTCTCAAAACCAGGCTTGGCAGCGGTTTGGCCAAAGGTTCAGAACTTCAGTCTCTGCAAATTGCCGTAACTGTTGTGCTAGCTCTGAGAAAATCAGGGGAAATCATAGCTCTCAGCAGCATATCTAGGACTTACTTCAGGAGTAGCCCATGTACTATATTAACACTCTCATTTTAGGGTTTATATTCTGAACAATTCTTTGTAAAAAAGGTCATTTTGATTGTAGAGAAATCTGTTTTTAAAATGGTTTATGATATCTGCTCAGCTAATGGATTTGCTCTCTTTCTCTTGCTGTTCTTATTTTTCCATTTTCTCATCATCCTCAATCTGACTTACTTACACAGTGAAAAGGATTTGGTGAAACAGGCAAAAACCTTAAATAGTGCAGCAAACAAACTGATCCAGAAGCATCATTAGACATGTTTATGTCTGGTGACCTCACAGCTCTGACATCAGAACTCATTTATGAGGGGAGAACTTGAGAATTGCTAAAAGCAACTGTTAAAATATTAATTGTCACCTAAAGTTGATTTGGAGTTTGCTGAATTTTTAAAATCAGTGAGGTTTTTCTTCAGAGATTTAGGGTTGGGTATAAAAATCCCTAAATTTGCCATTTAAACTGTGTTAAAAGTACCAAGGAGTTGGCCAATAAACACACCAGAAAAGCATAAGGAATGGGAGACATGTGGCTCTGTCCATCCCAGTGATGCACACGGTATAGAGCAGCACAAGTCTGCAACATTTCTGGATACTAGGTGCTTTGGTCAAGCCAATTCCAGATTGGCCAGCTCTGGAAAGTCAACTAGTTTTCTGTGTTACCCTTTTTGTGAAGTAGACGAACAAAAATACATCCCTGGAAGTTGTTGAAAGTAGTTGTGTGCGTTACCCCAAGCCGTTACCCGTTCACTTCTGTGGGTTCAGCCCCGAGTCCAAGACAAACGGGCACAACTCGATAGCTCATCACCGTGAAGACCAGCCCTCTTGTAACCGAGACTGCTTGCAACGATTTTGCCTTAGTGACTTGGTGGGAGGGTGGGGACTTAATCCTTATTCCTTTAAACTTCATGTGTCCAGAATTAGTAGCTAGGTGTCTTTAGAGTAACATGATAGAGTGGTAAGTTCAGTGGAAACCTCCTTATCTTTGCATTGCCTTCTACCTCTGCCATGAATTCCCCTCTAGACGTACGTTGTGGTTCTTCCCGACTGAAGGAAGCTGAGGAGAGGTGTTTTGATAGGTCTCTCATCTTCCCAAAAAAGGAAGTTATACGTTTTACAAAGAATAATCTGATCTTTATACTCCAGTGTTTGAAAGAAACAGGAAAAAAAAAGAAGGAACAAAACTAAATGGGCAGTGGTGAGAAGTGGAAATGGTAATTCCATACTTGACCATTCCTTGTCTGAGTAGTTAGTGGTTTAAAAGGAAGAGTTGCCTTTTACTATTACACTTCTTTCATTTGCTTCTGAGTTTCTGTTGCTCAATACAAATGGAATTTGCTAAGGAAGGAACAGCTAAGGCTTGGAAACAGCTCTCAATAGGAAAAATAATTGCCAATTTAACACCCCAGTGCAAAACTTGTAAGTAACTGTAGCTTTGGACTATTACAAACTCATATCCTCTTCCCTGTGGCTGCAGAAGTTCACCATGCTGGCCTGTCAATGGTTTTAGGCTATAAGTGCTCCTAGAGATTTTTTTTTTTAATCTCTTTCAAGAAGATGACATTTGGGGGGTTTCTGTGTTGAATAAAGGGGGGTTTTGCTCTAGCGAGATGCCTGTAAAAATTCTTTGGTGCCGGTTCTCCCTTTGTCCCGTGGGATAGTGCTCCTTGGAGCAGTGGGTGGCAAATGTGACCGAAATGCAACTAGGAGAGGAACACCTATTGATTGATTCTCACTAGGTGGAAGGTTTAAAAATCGGTGAGGCTCAGCCTAGTCCGCCTGTACCCCAGCGTGTACCCCAGCGTAGCTTGTTCAATGGACCCCTGCACACAAGCAGGCTTGGACACCCGTTCTAAATCTTTCCATGATGCCCAAGTCGCATGCTTGGTACTTAACTTTCCGTAACCTTTTATTAGAAATGCATTTTAACTACCTGGAGAAAAAGAAAATAAGAGTAATAAGGTGGAAGCTTTCATCGAGGTATCCAGATAGCTCGTTAGAACAGTTAACTCCCCTGCCCCTCCCCACATTTCTTCTGTGGAAAGAGGGGGTTGGGCTGGTTTTGTTTGCTGTCACTGTAGTGCTAAAATAAGACAGAATTAGGGATCTAGCCATTTCTGATGTCAGGCCCCAAGTGGAAATGCTTTGTTGGACTAGTGGGCTCTTAAGCCAACGTATCAGTCCACGGAAGAGGCCAGGAAAATGCACTAATTCTCAATATAGTAGCTAACCTCTGTTGCAAGTTCCAGTTACACGTGTAAAGCTGAAATGTAACGTACATTAAAATCAAATTTGACTTAAAATTCTGTGTACTTGAGGTTTGCTTTGAATCTGGATAAAAGTGATGTTTTATGTTTTTCATCTAATGGCTGTAAACTGTAGTAATAGAATAAAAACTATTGAAAATCAGAGCTTCTTGCCTGGTTCACCTACATTTTGCTTTTCTTTAAAATATTTTCCTCCTTTCCATTGTTTTTACCATTCCTTTTTTTTTTAGCTTTACCTTTTCACTGGGTTTTTTTTTTTTTAATTTGTTGCTTAAACTCGGTCTTCCTCCCCACCATGGCTTTTGTTTTTTATCACAAGTTCATGTGGCTCAAATCCAGATTGCGACAGGCAGAGAAGGACCGTCAGTTGGCCCAGCAGGACAACCGTCTCTTCAAGCAGGAGTTTGGGGACAAAATCAACAGCCTCCAGCTAGAAGTGGAAGAGCTCTCCAGGCAGCGGTGAAGAGATCCTTTTCTAATCTATTTTCTGGGCTGTTAGTAACTGTGTGTAGTAGAAAGGAGGCAGGGTGTCTGCACAAGGGATTAGGGGTTGGAGGTGGAGAGAGACGAGTGGGGTTTTAGGTGCCAGGCAGACATCAACTCTGGGGAGGTGAAATGTTTTGTGAGATGCTAAATCTTTTAAAGTATGTGTCTGTGAAGTTACAACTTGAAAAATCGGATTGGTAGAAGATGCAAAGGAGCAATGTGGTCAGCAGAAGCCACCAGCAAAAATACAAATCTTATGTGGTGGTGCAATATCAGAAACAGGTTGCAGAACATCTCTATGGTGGAAGTGAAACATCATGATGTTCTGGAAGAGGATTTTAGGAAGAAATTCTTTGGTGTGAAGGTGGTGAGACCCTGGCCCAGGTTGCCTAGAGAAGCTGTGGCTGCTCCTCCCTGGAAGTGTTTAAGACCAGGCTGGATGAGGCTTTGAGCAACCTGGTCTAGTGGAAGGTGTCCCTGCTGCTGGCAGGGGGGTTGGAACTGGATGAGCTTTAAGGTCCCTTCCAACCCAAACTAGTCTGGGATTCTATATTTTTCTGAACATGAAAATGTCCATGGGGGCTTTCTGCACTGTGGTTAGATTTGTTGGGCATCTTCTGATGACCATCTCTTTTGAAAACCTCCAGCATTGCATCAGACTTTCCACTGTAATAGCGTCATTTGGAATGTGAAGCTCATAGTAAAAGCAAACCATTGGCTGCTCCTCGGCAGGGGTGTAGCAATCTTGGCCTAACAGAGCTAAGTCTGAAGAGTTTGGGGCAAGGGTAGTCAGTCTGACAACACTGCTGTGATTTCCACCCAGCTGAAACTCATCTCAGTTTTGCTGGGAGGCAAACAAAGAAGTTGGAAGCCAAATGTAAAGAACTTGGCGAGAGCTGCTGTATTTTCCCTGCTGTGTCATCAGTTTTCCAGTATCAGGAAAACACAGAAATCCTCTTACCTGAAAATAGAAGAGCATCTCTCCTTCTGCAGCCACAGTGCATCCTTGCTTTTTTTGCAAGGTCACTGGAATGAATTGTGTGGAAACATTGCTGGATGCATTTGTGGTTTGTTTTTTTTTGGGGGGAGGGGATTTTTTTGGGGGGGGGGTTTGTTAAATTTTGGGGGGTTTTTGTCCCTTCCTAGCACAGTTTTTAGTTTCCTTTTTCAGAAGTTACAGAGGGTACCCACGAAGCCAGCAAATGGCTTTTCTCAGAAATTCATACGAGGTTGTACAAATAAATTGGGAATGCACCTTCTCTGCATATGGACCTTACACTGACTCGGTTTCTTAGTGTAGCTTCTTGGGGAGGACATTTGCAAATTGGTCTATTTTTGCATTGTTGAACTTTTCCTAATTCTTTTCTCCTTCAAGCTAAATCAGGATGAGAGAATAAAAATGACTGAGGTTGTACTGCTTTATTTAAGTGGGTTTCTAAAGCAATGAGTTCCTGGAGGGTGCTGCAGTGGTTGCTGGGTGGTCTTGCTCGAATTAAATACCTGTAAGAGAAAATGGGACTTTTTGTGTTTGTGGTGGAGATGTTTTTTAAATCCCAGTTAGAAACAGGAATTCCCTAAGTTGGTTTGTTTTTAAATGTCAGCATGGGTGAGGATTCATTTCTGGATCTAAGTTTCCACTAGCTTTACTCACTTCAGTTAGGCTCTGTAATTAATGAGGCTGTACTCATTATTAGTTATTTTATAAACTGTTGGAGCGGTACGGAGGCTAACGAGGGAAATCATGGATAATGTTGGTTTAATAGCAATGAGGATTCTGAATGTTTTATCCTGTAAGTCTTGATGCTACTGTCACCAGCAGATACTCAGTTTCTAGGCTTTGGTTTAGGAGCAGAGGTCGATTCCTACAGCAGCAGCTACCATATTTTACTTGTCATAATGTCAGAAAACAGGGGTTTTGGCTCTTTAGTCCCTGATGGTCCGTGTACTCCCAAGAGCTTTGTTGCTGTTGTGCACTGGCAGGCTGCAGTCGTGGAGGTGCTGAGCTTTCTGGTGCCCCAGAGTAAAGGGTCTGTGATTCACAGCTGGCTTCAGTGTCATGCTTCTCTTCACCCTGCTTTGGGCTGTGTCAGGGACCTTGGATGTGCTTGTTCATCCTTGACCTGCTGGTGGGTTGTCCTCCTGAATGTGGGAAATGGTCAAGGATGTTGCCTTTGGTTTCAGAGCCTGTCCTGTAGCAGTTGACCTGCTGAAGAATGTCTTTTTGGACAGGGCATTGATCAACACTTCTGTAATAGATGAATAACTATTTTTTTTAAGGACTTGCAGACTTAGTCAACAGGTTTATTTCCTGCAAAATTGTGCTGGAATTCAGTGAACAACTTATAGATTTTTCCATCCTGACATCTTATGGTTTAACACAGTGTGAGACAACTTTTTATTCCAAGAGGCAGTTTTGAGCTCTTGAGTTGGGGTTCACTTGTTTTAGTAGAAAGACAAGGTGATGTAGTTGATTTGCTCTTGATGTCGAGTGTTCCAAAGCCATAGCCTGTATTCACAATTCCACTTGGGTATCCTAGGAACCACCTTGAACTAGAACTGAGGCGGGAAAGAGACAGATGGTCACACAGTCAGCAACGCAGCCAAGAAAACAAAAAAGACGCAAAGAATTGGCTTAGACAGGTAAGAGGACTTTTGTTATTGTTTGAAGTATGGTTTTGTTTTGCTCATTTGCTTTTCCTGAGCTTTATTAGGCAATCAGTATGTATCATTACTGTGCCACAACAAAATGAGCTTTGGAACATTTTTTACCCGTGCTAAATAGGCAGTTTATTCAGTTGAGCCTCACAAAATCTTGCAGGCATCATGCTTCATTGCAGAACACTGCTTTCCTCTTCCAAGCTGGGTACCTGACCACATCTTGTCAGTGACTGTGGTTTTCCTTCACTACTTCTATAAAATACAGCAGGAGAGATGCTGTACACATCACATCTTAGGAAAAACAAACTTCCTCGTTGCTTTTTTGTTTTGTTTTGGTTTGGTTTTTTTGCATAAGGAAAATTCTCCTGAAAGAGGTAAATAATAAAACTTGGAAAACAAAATTATCTTTTGAGGGCATCACAAGTCACTTTGAGTGTTCATTTAGTGCTGTGCGTTAGTGGATTTGGTGGTTGTTAAAGCAAAGTACAGTGTTCATCTCGAGAGTAAAACTCCCAGTCCCCAAGTGAAACTCCTTTTTTAGCAATCAATTTGCCTTTGAAAGTGAAAATCCTCTCTGCAGCTTTTTCTGTCAAACAAAACAGGCTCTTTTGCTGGGAACTGGCAGTAAAACTGTTGTTTTGGAGAACAAAACTTGTGACAATGAGAACTGTGAAGTGCTAGAGGTTGTTGCCACAGTTTTCATGTGTGCTGCTGTACTTGAGGGTTGCGTTCACCGGGCTCCCCTGGGCTGCTTGAACCAGTCTGGTTTTTCTTTTTTGAACCA